TCAAACATTTTTGAAAATTCTTGTGTAAATCTTTTCCAGTCTGATTTTATTTCTATAGGTAATACTGAAAACCATTTTTGAGCTGCGCCATCTAAGGTTGTTTGTATCAACGCTGTGCGTCGATGTATCCAATTTTGATGTAGTGGTGTATTAATTGGTTCAGGTCCTATATTTAAAAATAAATTTGCTGTTACTGCGTTTAAATAATCTTCTACAGAATATTCAGGATCTGTTCCTGTGAATACCATTAGTGGTTTATTTGATGTTATTGATGATCCACCCATAAGGTATGGATTCATTGTCATCTGTAGTGATTCTGCGGCATTTGGCATTTGCGAAAAATTTGAAAGTTGATTTTTTGTTATTTCGTGTTGCTGAAGGTAATATGGGAGTGGTATTTCATTTTGCATTTGAGTTGGTTGATACGAGTGCATAGTCATTGGGTTTTGTGGTTGAATTGGTTGAAAAGATTGTGTATTAGTTGGATTTGACATATGGATTGGTTGTTGATTTCGTGTATCTGTTGGATTTGGAGAAAAAATTCCATTATATGTATGAGGTCGTCGCGATCCTTGCTTGCGATATTCTTGGGTATATAGTGCAAAAATGTCTGGTTGTAAATAATCATCATCAGATGATAAGTGTTCCGTATGATGAGGTGCTTGCTTTTTATTTTTATTTTGTTGAAAGAATGGGTAATTTTCACTATGATCCTGTGGAGGATGTGAATTAGTCCGAAAATTTACTGAGTTGGTTGTTGTCATTGGGTTATCCCAATAGTGAGAACTTACTTGATTATTATTAGTTTTTCGTGGGGGATAGTTTGTTTTTGATGAATGTGCATAATTATAATTGTGTTCTGCAAAAAATGTTTGTGAACGTTCTTTGTGTTTTTGACGGTACTGTCATAGGTCTATATGTTTGATAATCCATATGTGAATGTTTTGGAGCAACCGAAGGTTTAACGGTTGATTGTAAGGTTACTTGTGCCAATGAAGTATTTGTATTTTTTGGTGTTGTTAAATTTGGATGTATTGGTGAAATATTTTGTTGTGTAGTTGTTGTTGTTTGGACAATTTCTTCATTTATGAAGTGTGATGGTGTTTGGATATCTTGTTGTGTAAGATTTCTAGTTCCATTAAGGTTTTCATGGTGTATGATGGTCGAATTTAAACTGTTATTTCGCGTATCAGGTAAAAATGTATTGTAGTTTAATGGTGTTGCATCAATGGTTAGTGGTACTACTTTTACATAATCTCTTTGGTAAGATATTGTACTTATTGCTTGACTTGAGATTGATTGTGGGATATTTATAAATGCAGGATGAGACCATTCAGGGTCCCAAACGTAGTCTGACTGTTCTGTAATGGCAGTATCATCATTTGGATTTTAAGGTCTTAAATTTTTTCTTGCTTGTGAAATTAAGTCTATATTATGTGTGAAATAATCTATTATGAACCATGCCAAAATTTTTTGTAAGTCATGTTTTGTGTGTTGTGGAACATCGTCTTTAGCGAAATTTTCATTGATTATATGTAGAAAAGTTGAAAATAAAGTGATTTCATGTCGTACTTTTGTATGTTTGGATGTTTCAGTTGGTGAGATACTTTGAAATGCTTATTTTTCTAATATAGAAATATAGGTATATATTATTGCAAAAACCTCGTTAGTGAATATGGAGTTTGCTCTTTGTGAATTATGATATTGTATGCTTTTAATATATTCTAGGAATACTTTTGAAATTTCTATTTCAAGATCGTCTGTTTGAATTACATATTTACGATGATTCGTATTTGGTGTGCTGAATTCTATGGTGTAGATTCCATATTGTTGTGTTAAATTACATATATCTTTCAGATAATGTTCAATAATTTGTCTTATGATTTTTACATCTGGGAATTCTGCTTTGCATGGGCTGATTCCGGGTTTAAACAAATTGACGAGTAAATTCTTGCAAAAATTATGTTGCCCTCTATTATCGGGTGCATTTATGAGGAAGGGGTAAACCTCTTTGTCATCTGGACTATCGTCACTTTGAGTGTGGCTCATTTTTTTGCTTAATGACTGTTAATATATAAGTATCGATGTGTCTAATTGGTTGATTCCAATTATACAAGTGTACTGGTTTGTGTTTATATTGCTTTTTTATATTTCTTTTTCCTCTTTTTGATGAATTTGAAGTTGTTTCTGAATCGGAAAAATATAATTGATCGTGAAGGGGACAATTTTTATCAATTGATTCTTTTAATTTGTAGAGTTCATCTAAATTGCTAGCTTCTGATTCTGAAAATGCGTTTCAATTTTTTGAAAATCTTTTTCGTGTGATTTGTCTTTGTTTGTTTATTATTTTTCTTTTTATTGTTAGTCGTTTTGTTCTGATATATCCAACTGTTTGTGTATGAGGTGTGATTACAAGATCGTATTTTTGGTTATCTATCTCACAGTTGTGTAAAACGATTGTTTGCTTATTTCCTAGATTTTTGAATGACATAAGGTTTAGGATGAGGGATGCAAAAAGTTATTAGGTGATTTCTAATTTCTTAGACTGTTAGTCCTTACGATTTTTTGGTTAGCTTAACCTGGGTCTTTTTGTTCAGGGTTGGAGAGAAAGGTATATCGATTCCGAAGAATGATTTTTTACTTTCTCGTGGCTAGTCTAAGCTAAGGTGTTAACATACTTAATCTTACTTAGGGGTAGTGATTGTGTTCAAGGGTTGGAGAATAGTAAATCAATCCACAAGGTTCAGGTATAATTAGAACGCAAGTAGTTCGTTAGATACTATTTTAAACTTACTAGGTCTAATATTTATCCTGGGTCTGGTAAGAGGACGGTTCAAGTGAAGGATGAATAACCGAAGTTCTTCACTGTTTATCTTAATTTGAATGGTTAGTTTTATTTAAAAATTTCTATTAATCTTGGGTCTTTTGGAAGGGTTGGATAGTGAATCGACGTTTGAGGTCGTTAGACACTTGCTAAGTTGGTGGGGGAGAACAAAATTGTTCTTTCTGATCCAAGGATAGGCCTTGATGATCAGGTTTTAAATTTAGTGAAATAGAAAATTAATTAAGATCCAAGGATAAGCCTTGATGATCTGATTTTAAAATTAAGTGAATTTAAGTTTAAAATGGTTTAAATTTATTTAAGAAAAAGATTTAGTTTTTTAATGATATTAGTGAGCTTATGATTGCTGTTATGTTTAGGTGATAAAGCTGGGACAACAGATGATTTTATGATTACTAACAATTTATTGTCATGCTACTAATTTTTATTTTCATTTTCAATAAATATTTTTCAAACATGTTTTATAATAGACTGCAGAAATTAAGGAAACGATCTGAGATCTTTTTATCAATCGTTATTGTATATTAATAATTTTGTTTAGCGCCTGAAATGATCATGAAGACTGACTAAATTTTATGTTTGCAAATGAAAATCATGAAGATTGACAAAATTTTGACAAGATTGCAAATGAAAATCTAAATTCATTGCTAATAAGATTCTAAATATAAAAGTTTGTGTTGGCTTTTGCCGTACAATCATAAAACTATATGGTAAATTTCTACTTAGTCGTATGTCGTCTCTTGTTCGAGGTCTTCTTACAATTCCGGGTAGTTCTGTTATCGTTCGGAATATCGGCTCTGATCTATTGAGTCGTAGAGACATTTCGATTAAATTATTATCGTATAACATTTTTAAAATGTTTTGTCTGAATTCTAATCTATTTTTGGTTAATTCTAAGCTATTAAGGTCTTATTCGAGACTTATGGTTGCACCAGATGAGTTATGACCTATGTGGTTAACTCATAGAGTAATTTCGGATAGGGTACATCGTCTGCTCGTCACGCTATCTTATTTTCGGCCGGATAGATTCGTGCAACTTCTTAGTCTAATAACGATCCTAATCTTACTCTTATACTTTCTAGTCTCAGGGTGTTTAACTAGTCTCTGCTAGGCGCAATAGATCTAGGGTATACTGGTTTGTCGCGGCTGCTGAAGTTCTCTTGGAGAGACAACTAATTTCTAAGTTAAATTCAAATCTCTCTGGTGCTGAAATTACAAGTAATTTCAGCACTTACAAATAATTGGGTTGTTAGTTAGATGGATCATGATTGGTTAATATTAAATACTTTACAGTGGTAAAATATCTAATTTATCCAATCATAAAATGTAGTTTAGATCAGGTTCCATCAGCTCTTCTCCTATATTAAAAGTAAGGCAAACTCCACAAGAATAAAAACATAACCTAATTATCCAGTTTTTTCAAATTGCAATTCTAAATTGTTCTTGAAACTCAAAGAGCTTTAATGTCATCTATTATATTTGAAGTTCGAAAGTTAAGGTTTTTTGTCTGTTCGCTATGTTTGTTTTACAAAAAATTATTTGGTTCTTTTTCTTTCCCTCATCTGCAAAAATTTTTTAAAGTAATTTTTCTGTTTACTTTGACGGATAGTTACAAAAATATGCATGTGGACTGATTAGGAGATGAAAAGATTATTTGGTCTCCATGCTTAAACTCCTTACACCATAAAACTGATGCTTTTATGAAGTAGGGGGAGGAAAAAAGGAAAAAGAGCCAATTGTTTTACTGAATTGTTATGTTTCACTGCTTATAAGTAAATTAATTTGTTTTCATGTGCTTGAAGTTTAGGCTGAATCCCTCGTAGTTGTCACAAAAAACTACCGAAATTTTTTTGCTTTTTTTTTAGCCAGCAGGCTGTGCTTCGTGGTCAGTAAGAAGTATCAAATATGAGATAAAAGAGTATGATAAAAGTAAAAGTATAAGGTGGCTATCACTAGGGTATAGTTGATGAACCAGATTACTTTGGTGCTCTAAAGTCAGGCTGCAAAGCCCGAAGTCATAAACTAAAAAGACACCATAATTGCCCAGTATGGAAATGAGAAAAAGTACATGTAAAATCGCCAGACCGAGATCAGCTTAGCGCATCTCTTGCTGAATAAAAAGTCTTTCTTTAGAGCTTGATAATTTTATTTTGTTCTTCCAAATGACATTGCAACTACAAATTAGGTCAACGCTTTACGCAACTAGTTGAAGAAAGTTAGTGCCACTTTTTGAGCTCACAGTAACTGTTCAATTACTTCAAAGTGATTCATTCGCCAGATATTTTGCAACTCTTCAATGCACCAGCTGTATCGACTTACCATTTTTGTGCACAATTGACGGACTATTTTGGTACTAGTTTTTTTTCCTTGTGAAACAGTCAAAAAGATTAATATTCATTTGCGGTCCAACAACAAAGTGATATGGAGTATTATAAAAATGGATTCAACTCGGACAAGACTTGTACCAAGTAAGTTTTGCTTTGATGGCTTAAAAAGTAAAAAAAAACGTCACTCTCAAAATTCATATTCAAACATGATTAAAATCGGGAGAAGAAAACCCGAAAGTTAGCCGGATATCAAAGTGACGTTGTTTTTAATTGGAAGCGAATTTTTGATATAAATGCAAAATGCATAGTTTTCAAACAGCATTTTTTAAAACTAGCAATGAAAAAAACTAGATCTGCAGAATATGGCAAAATTGTGCTAAATAGTCTCAGCTGTTCGGAAAAGCACCACTGATGTCCCAGAATTGTATTTTTGTACTCACTGCATTTTAAATTTTTTTTCCAGGATTCGGAAACCTCCCGGAGGCGACTGCAGCGACATTTTCAACCTCAGCCAGAGTTCACAGTCACCTCAATTGAATGCCAGATCCAGTGTCTCATTAAGCTCCATGCGTAAGCGTATTTAGTAGCACTTCATTATTCGAGATGTCTTTGGACCATTCATTGCACGCGACAAGTTACTAAAAAAATTTTAAGCTATTTATTTTTGCTGTTAACTGATGTTCTATTCTTGATTGTAAAAAAACTCGTGTATTTCGTTATTTTTCTGACAACAGTGAAGTATCGCATCGCCCATAGGTTGACCACAGATAACGACGAGCCTCGCTAGAAAATTTCAGCAGTTAAGTGCTTTGAGGCGAGGCTTGAGGGTGAGGCAACATTACACCTTTCAGAAAAGATGTCAAAAAACGCATGAAGCTTTCAATTAAGGAGCGAAGCAGTGACTATGTAAAGAGATGGAGAGTCTTAAGATCCCTCCCCCTATCTCGCGTGAGCACCTGTTTTTGGTGAAACGAGTTGTTTTACAACGTCTAATATGAATCCCAAGTACGTTGTCATGGCTTAATAAGTATGTATGTCAATTTTGAAAGTAATCGGAAAATGTTATCAAGCATTTTATCTATAAAAATTGCAGGTGGGGTGGGGGGGGGGAGGAAAGAAGAGCTTAATTTTGCTTTTGGGCTTTTCCTGCGTGGATAAGTAGTCTTACATTTTAATAAGTGTGTTAATAATTTTTGTTCAGGTCCTCAGTCAACGAGGATTCCGTGGGGCACAGAAGATGATTTGAAAAAGTTACCCACACAGAAAATTCCTACTACTCCACAAGGTAAACGCTTTAATCTTTAAAACCCCGAATGTTCCGACTGTTTTTTCAAAATGTCATCCATTTGTTTTTTAAAAAATTTTTGAATTTAAATTTACAAAGAAAATAGAAAAAATTAAAATTTTTCCTCGATTTGAAGAGTGAATCCGATTTTTATATTTTACTCTGAGATAAAAGCTCTGAGCTCACATTTTAGTTTACAAACTACTTTTTTTGCTAACAGCCAGACCTGAGCCAAAAAACGACTACCACCCGTTCTACGGGAAAACTAATTCGGCCAGACGACACTTCGATCAAGAGAGCGTGGAAGTCACTGCTCCCTTTGGAACAGACACCAACTACACAGCCATGTAAGAGAAATCATTATTTATAAAAGAGTGACAAGCATAATAGAATGTTCCCGCTGTAATATCTGCGCAAACAATGAAAAAAAATTAAACTTTTTTTCGACTTTTTTTTAGTTTTTCATAGTTTTCAAAGTCCTTTATGGTAGTTTCTAAATCAGGGCGTCACTTAGCTATCTTTGCTTTCGAGAAAAATCTAAAGTCATTTCCTTTTTAAAAATGAATAAGAATTATTTCAGCAAAACGAAAGCTAGACATGCGAATCACAGAACTACTACTCCTTGGTTCACAGAGTCGACAGGCGCTGAGGCCACGAATGAGTCAGCGAAGAAAGATAAGGCGAACTTAACAGAAGACGGAAAGCCTTCTTCTAGAAGAGAGTCTTTATCTCAAATACCGTTTTGAATCAAATCTCAAAGCAACTGTTCACATTTGTTAGTTATACTATTTTCAGGCGAATTATTAAAGCAGTAAATTGAAAATTTTCAGCAGAAATCTGTAAGAGTTTGTTGTAAAAATTTCATCAATTGTGAGAGAGCTTCAATTAAAAGTGAACCACGTGCTTTTTTGCCGCTGGGAGTTTAGGGAAGATTTTTGCTGATTCAAAATATTAACCCAACTAGATATCAAAATATCCATTACAAAGCTCGGTGTCTTTGGTTGACCATTGAGTTCAGAATTATGGCTGTCAGAAGACGCAAATTTTAGAAAATGATGTGAAATAAAAAGTATGAGGGAGCTACAGTCATAATTAATTCAACACTAGGCGTTACGTTAGAGACTGTTTGTTGGAGCGATTACGACAAATGATTATCAGCGTGTAAGAAGAGAATAGTGCCTACCACTCAAACTCTACTTTTGTAATCGTTAGTAAGCGATGTGCATTTTCACGTATTACTCAAGTCTTTTTTTACTCTATGCTTCAATTCTTAGCTACTTGACTTTGCCTCGTTTTTAAGTTCACCTTATTTTCATTAACTAAATGCAATGCAAAGTAAACGTTAAAATATGATGATTGCAATTGCCCGCAAAAAAGAAGTGGATAGTTTACCATTTAGCTTCATAAGATATTTTAAATTTTAGTTTTCACAAGGAAAGGGAAAATTTACCCTTCGTCTTCGTTCCAAATATCTTAAATTGGGTTGAAAGTCTAAATAAATTACCAAAGAGAGGACCCTTTGGACAATCAGGGGGTCGAATCCCTGAAACAGAAGAGCGGATGATCCCAAACTTCAATCGGGGTGGATCTAGGATATTCTCGAGGTGGGTGGGAGGGGAACTTGAAAAAAAATTAGTTTAAAATTTTTCTCGACTTTTTTGTTATTTCAACCAATGAATTCTCTCAAATCACGAATTTTCTTTTTTTTTCAACCTAAGTCGCAAATAAAAGTGCTACTTTTGGTGAAATTTTTGAATCGGTAGGCTGTGGAGGTCAAATCATGTGTGCTTTGACGTTTGATTTGTAAAAAATTAAGGCCCTTTCCAGTTCCCCCTTTCAAAATACCGAGTTTTTTGTTTGTTTCACGTGTTATTACGGCTAAATGCGTGATGTTCCGCTGTAAAGTACGAAAAACAACTTTGTTCACAGTTGTCGATTTGTTCACCTCGTCAATTTTCTTTGCATTATGACAACGTGAAATAAACTTTTCAAAAATTGAATTTTAAAGGGGGAACTGGAAAAGAGCCAAAGTTAACACAGCTGATGCATTTTTAATTCATCAAATGAACAGAAAAAAGTTATTTGTTTCAAACAGCAGTACAATGATAAAAAGTTCGATTTCAAAAATTTTCCAACTCAAAGTATCTTGCAATTTTTTCTGAATTGCATAATTTACACATAATGTGTCTTGATGCTTTTCAATTTATTACATGCAAAATTGTGTCTTTTTGTATTTGGTGCTACTTTTGGTGCATCGGATTGGCAATTTATTAGCATTGTATGTGCGCTATTGGTGGCTAGCTTTCGGGAATTTGAAGCATAAGTGGCTGAGTGGGTAGTGTGTGAGTCTCAAATTTGCTCGGTCGCAGATTCGAATCCGGCACGCAGCCGAGTTTTGCTAATTCGAGGCTTATTCCTTGTTTCTCCTATTTCACTTGATATAACTGCTTTTTGGTCGTGTCCTCGCAAGTGTCGCAAGCACTGCTTTGCCTCTGTGTAAAAACTCTATTTTGAACCGATTTGTGCACCGCAGCCAAATGTTTGAAAAATCATGCCAAAAAATTTTGGTTTGGACAATGCTTTGAAAAAAAGTACCATTTTGTCGGCGCTCGCTTCCCCTCAAAATTAGTAATCACTGGCACTAAAGGCGCCCTACAAACAGTTTAGGTTTGGTTAGCCACATTTGAAAGTCTGGAATTTTTACCAAAGAGGTGACGTTTTACGTAGTCAGGGGGTTGAATCTCTGAGGCAGAAGAGCGAAGTCTAGTTCCCGATTACAAAACACTTGCTCTTGCAAGTGTAATAGGGTATTGATTCGCAGATGATTTTTTTCGTGGTTCAAAATTTTGACTTTTGATGGATTAAAAGTTGTGTGTTTTGATGACTTGAACGTTTTTTTTTTCGTTATACGTAAATTTCATTTAATGTATTTCAAAATCAGATACTCTTTTGGGCAGACACAGAAAGGGGTGAAAACCTGAAATCTCCAGTAAATTTGCACCACACGGTTAGTAGTCACCGCTTCTAACTCTAATTTGTATTAGCCGTTAGCCGTTTGTGTAGCAAAAAACTGGGCTCTTCAAAAAATTATTTGAAGCAAAAAAAATTCAATTCTTCGAAAAACTACAATTTTTTGTAAATTATTGCAGTTTCGTATGCGTGGTGTGATAAAAGGATCTGTCGTAAAGCTGTAATTTAGGCATTTTCGACAATCATCGTCAAAGAGGCAAACAGGGCAATAGTCCAGTCCGATTATTATTTGTGGTACCTGATTTGGCGTGGAAAACAAAAAGATAAAACACTAAACGAATACAAAGTTCTGATACAAGTGTGATAGTTGAGTTCCGAAAATGTAGGTGGGTCCCTAATGAAAAACCGGTTTGTACAATACACATTTTAATTATGGGGTAGGATACCCAACAGAAATTTCCTTTATTAAGTTATCAAATGCTTCCGAATGAGTTCCGAATCGTTGTTTCCAAAAACTTTTTCTCACCGCGTTTCATTTCAGCCATTTCGCGATTAAAATCACAGCAATTAAGTATTTTCCTTCTAACAATCCGTTTTTCTCGTAAAAAAAGGTTATCGAATTTTCATTAGTACAAGCGTGGTTGATATCTCTAAAAATGCATATTTTCAGTTTTTGGCAAGATTTGTTCCATTTTAACCAAGTCAATTGAATTTAACAGCTATGAGTAAGATATTCTAGTGTGGGGAAAAGTTTGAAAATTTGTTTGTTTGCTTGTTTCAGCATCTCAGTAAAAAAGCCTAAAATGCGCAGGAATGCAAAGATATGGGTATGCAACTAACAAACAAATAGTGAAAATAGGAACTTGAGGCCGAAAAATGAGATGTTTCAGAAAGCTTAATTTCAAAACGTTTTCAATGTTGCCTTGTTTTAGTTTATTTTGTGCATTGCGAAAACAAATGCATCTCACGAACTGAAAACTGCCCCAGTCAAAATTTATTATTACCCAATAGTTTTAATGAACCATGTTTCAGACTTTCATTTAATATAAAAGATTATCGGGTAAAAAAGAATCTGCCAGATAACTAGATCAGGGTAGAAACCAGCCAGATCTGTAAGCTTGTTGTGCTAAACCCTGTTAAAGATAATTGGAAACATCTATTGTAACAAGTTCGGAGGAAATGTATTCGGTAAAACGCAGAGAAAATAAAAGCACTAATACGCGCGTGGGAATCAAAATTTGCACGCTAATGTGCATTGGGCCTACGTAACAAAAAAATTTTTGTTCCGACTTTCGATACGAAAGTAACGGAATATTTGTGCTCGGGGTGGGTTTTTTTTTTCTTCAGACAAATTTCGACTTTTTAACTAGCCATTTTTGACGGAACTTTTTTATATCATTCAAAAGGTATTGTTGTCCTGAGCTCAAATTTGAAAAGATATTTCACCTGTTTTTTTTTGCAAAGTTATGGGGGTTTAAAGATTGCCATTTTGGTCAATTTGGGACAATTAACGCGCGATTTATTTCGCGCTATTAACGCGTAAGCGGAGAGTTAATCCGTCTTAAAATCGTTCCAAATTGGTCAAAAGAAGCTTATTTGCCATAATTGATTGGTTACAAGGAGCTAAATCTATCTTTTGTACTTTAAATGGCGTGTGGGGGGATGATTTTCATAAAAAATTTCAAATTTAATAAAAAAAAATTTTTTTAATTTTATTACATTTAATTTTTTAATGTTATTACTGCTCCATAAAACCTTAAATGTCAGTCGGAACATTCAGGGCTTTGCCCTGATACGAGCAGTCTTGTTGCATTTGGAATCTTAACTATTGTCCTCAAGGAACTGTTTAATTTTTTGTCCATTGATAGTTCTTAAGGATTGCGTTCAGTTAAACATTGCGTCCATAGCGCATTCAGACTTTCTTTTGAAATGCGAGATTTTTGGTTGTTTTTGAAGAATCTTTCATAAAGCTTGGTAAAGCTTCAGAAATGTTTAAGATTCGGTGAACGTGTTTCAGAATTTTATTTAGGATGTTTGATTTTTATTATGTTTCATAAAAAGTTTCAAAGTTTGTTCAGGCTCACCATGATTTATCACAGTTTGAATGTTTTGCAATGTAGAAGTTCAGTTCGTTACTTTTATTAAAGGAAAGCAAACTCTATTTCAACAGAAAAAGCGTAAAGGTCACGAAAAACTTGATTGATTTCTATTTTTGGAGTGAAATTCAATTTTCAGCTTTCCCAGTGAAATAAAAATCTTACATTTTGATCCATTTTTTCTCAAATTGGGTTAACTTTATCAAAAAGGTGCTGGTCAAAAAAAATTGTTTTCAGACATTCAAAGAGCTTTAAGGCCTTCTGTTTTTTTCATCGAGTTTCAAAAGTTGATTTTTTGTAATAAACAATTTTTTTTAAATTTAACTCGACTATTTTCTAACTGTCTGCTGGCTATCTTTTTAATTGAAATGGTGTTCGCCCAGTCTTTTATCTGGAAATGACGCTAGCTAAGTTTTTTTGGAAAAACTTTGCTTGATTTTTGTTCCGACTTTCGATACGAAAGTAACGGAATATTTGTGCTCGGGGTGGGTTTTTTTTTCTTCAGACAAATTTCGACTTTTTAACTAGCCATTTTTGACGGAATTTTTTTATATCATTCAAAAGGTATTGTTGTCCTGAGCTTAAAATTGAAAAGATATTTCACCTGTGATCATTTTTTGTAAAGTTATGAGGGTTTAAAGATTGCCATTTTGGCCATTTTGACCAATTTGGGACAATTAACGCGCAATATAATTCGCGCTAATAACGCGTAAGCGGAGATTTAATCCGTCTTATAAATCGTTCCAAATTGGTTGAACGAAGCTTATTTGCCATAATTGATTTATTACAAGGAACGAAATCTCTCTTTTTGTACTTTATAAGGCGTGCGGGGGGATGATTCTCATTAAAAAAACTTTCAAATTTTAGAAAAAAAATTTTCCTTTAATTTTTTTATGTTATTACTGCTGCTCCATAAACCTTAAAAGGCAGTCGGAACATTCAGGGCTTCGCCCTGATACGAGCAGTCTTGTTTCGTTTTAGATAAGCTGTTTTGAATTTTGAGCTCTGCCGAAACAGTTATTATCGTCTTGGAAGTCTAAGCCAATAAGTGCTTTCGCTCCTCAAAATATGTGTTCATTTGTGTTGAATAATAGTGTTATTTTTAACCACTGGTTGGCATGTTTTGATATACTAAAGTTTATATTATGGTCAAAATAAGTTCATAATGAAATTATGATTGATTTGTCATAAATGTTGTAATGAATTTGTCAATGATTTTGTTCGAAACCTACAACTTGTCAAAAAAGTTTTAAAAACAATGAAAAATTTGAGCACTCCTTGCAAAAAATTTCGAAAGCTCCGCTTCATTATGTTTGGTTAGTCGAAAAATTACGTGCGAGCCGCATATTCTAGCTCTATTTCTATAAAATACGTCGACGGAAATTTCATGCGCGGACTCGTTTTTACGAGATTTTTTGAAGCTGGTCATATTTTCTAGCTTCCGGTCAATATTTTAAATAATTCAATCAAACTTGTTTTTCTATAGTAACAAATTTTGCTTAGATTATGAAAAACGTGAAACCGATCAGGTGGTTTTTCGACCTACGCAGGTGCTTTCATTATCTAACCATGGTGATTTCTAATTTAATATTCATAACAATATCCGTATTACTTTCCGTTGAGCAGTTTTGAAGACAGGATTGTGTGTAATTTAAGCTGCGCTATTTTGATTAGTATTTGAACTTAGAGAAATATTGATTCGTGGGGTTCCAGCGATGAAGAACTTGGATTCGAAGAGTCGGGCGTTGGTGTTGGTTTTTGGCACACTTTTCGCTTTGCCTTTGGCCGTTGGATCAGGTAAAAGTATAACTCATTCATAATGATTGTTTATATTTGAATAGATAGTCTAAGAGAAACCTGTAGAAGAAAAAATTATTTCCTGAATCAATAAATACAAAAACAGGATAGCAAGAAAAAGTTTAGGATATTTAATTGAAAAAAGTTGTCAAATTGTGATTTGTGTGGTAGCGATTCTTTTTTCTTTTTGAACAAAAAAATGTTCAAGCGCGGATCTTGATTTTTCTTGAAAGGAGTGGGTTTCAAAAAATAATTCAAAAGTTTTGTCGACCTTTTTGTCGACCCCAAAATATAAAGACCCTACTTTGTCCAATTTGTCTGCGCCGCAGGTGAATTTTTAAAGAAACCTAGGCTAACCCGACGTTTTAGGTGTTTTTTTAAACAATTTGTCAAAAAATGAGTTGTTTTCGCGCGATACGATCATAGTTAGGGTGATCTACATATTAATACTGTACTTTTTAATACCTCGCACGCCCTATAAAATACAAAGTGATAGATTTCGCTCCTAATAACAAAGCAGTTTTGAAAAGGTTTGAAAAGGTTTCTAGGGCGGCCTAAAACCCGCTTACGCGTTAATAAAGCGAAATATATCGCCCGCTAATTGTCCCAAATTAGCCATGTTGGCAATTTTTAAACCCCCATAATTTTACGAAAAAAGATCGCAAATTAAATATATATTTTTTAAAATTTGAGCTCAAAACTACATTTTCTTTTTGGATATAAACAAATTTCGTACAGTTTGGCTACTGGGAAAAATCAAATTTTGTATAGAGAAAAAACCATCCCTAGTACTACTCCGTCACTTCCTTCGGAAGTCTGAACAAAAATGTTGCTTAAGGGTCGAGTGATAATGCTAATGCTTTTGCTAACTTATTACCACAAATTTGACTTTAAAAATGTTTGAGCTCTTAAGCTGGCTAGTGAAAATTGGTACATTTTGATTCACTAAATAAAAAACAGAAAAATAGTCAAAAATAGTCACGTAAGACACTTAACTAGAATTATTTGACGAAAATAGATAGAAAACTATATATAGATCATATAAAGAAAATACCTCTCAAATGCTTAACTTTTTAGGAAAAGAAAGGAAAAAAAAACAATAAATTGTGTTCATGCTTTTTTGGAAAATTTTGACCAAACAATTGCGTGTTTTCGGCGAGCGCTCGCTCCTCAAAATTAGTATATATTAGCACCAAATGCGTCTTTAGAAAGTTCTATGGTCAGTCAGCCAAAAATGGATATCTCAAAACAGAACAAAGTAGTACCTTGGGTCGGCAGGGGGTCGAATCCCTGATGTGAATTTATTTTTCGCTTTTCTTCAGGTTTTCTGCTAATTGGAATTTTTTGCAATTTCCGACAATTCTGATTGGTTGACAACTCAATCCTTTGTACACTTTAAAAAAAAATAGCCCCCAGACAGTTGTCGGAAGTATATGATAACGCTGATTGACAAAAAGTGGGGAAAAACTCCACAAAACACCGAAGACTGACAAGCTTTATGCTTGTTTAAATTCAATAAATTTTCGATAACTTTTTCGAAAATTTGCAGTCTAATGATTTCTAACTAATGAATATTTACTCTTGTTTGAACATTTTTTGGTTTTTGGGAGCTCTTGTACTTTGGCACTGTGCGAGCTCTTGTACTTTGGGAGCTCTTGTACTTTGAAACCAATCATAGGACGTTTTCAGAACAAAGCTTTCAGACTTTCAAATTAGATTGATTAGTCTCACTTAGATTAATCTCAAACTGCTCCATGTTAACAATACCACGCAAAAGGATAAAAAGTTTCACATATGATCAAACACAATTCTTTGTCAAAAATCGTATGAAACTGTGCTGTTGTTTTAGTGCCGTACAACATATGGGGTCTGGACCAGAACTCATTTCAGCTGTTGAGCACTGTGGTGGAGAACCAGATCACTATTGGAGACATGATCAACTTCCGCTTCACTCTGGAGGCCAAAGAAGACATCGTTGATGATATCCTGGTAGGGAAGAGCAAGAAATCTTCAGATAATTAATCCAAAACAAATGATATCTCTTACGCAATAAAGATTTTTTTTTATTTTTCTTTCTTCATTAAGTGTGCATTTGTGTACCAGAATGAAGCTATAGTATCTCTAAATTGAGTTAAATGAAGACGAAGACGTAGTAGATTTTTACTCGAACCTCCTGGAAAAAAAACTCATTTTTTCAGAAGCTTTTTGCGGAAAAATTTTTGCATATTTTGCAGTATGATTCAAAAAATAAATAAACAAAGTAGTTCTAATAGAATAATTGTTCTAGAACATTCTTAAAGCGTGACTTGTGATTCAGATCGTGGAGATGTCTGCCTCGTACAATGGCTACAGCAGCCTCCTCTTCTGCGGATTGCCAACAGTCCACACTTCTGATGACACTATGAAGTACAGCAGATTTGGGTCCACGTACGACACTGTATTCGAGGGCATCTCAGTGAGTATACATTATATCTTAGTATGTTGACAATGTTTTTTAAATTTATTTCATCTTCGGATTTGCTCGTAGATTTTCATTTCCTTGAGTAAACCTTGTCTACATTTGCTGTAATTAAATTGCTGTAATTATATTGCATAATTGCCGTATATCATATATTTCGGGCTTGTTTTTTTTTCATTTTTTATTTGTCGGATTATTCTTCCGACTTTCGGAGCGTGCTGGAGGCAAGAGTGGATCTAGGGTTTTCTTGAGGGGTGGGCGGATTTTCAAAAACTTTCGAAACTTCGTCGACTTTTTTTAGGTCGATCAAATTGATTTCCGAGCTCTCCCAAGCACTAATAAACCTGTTTTGTTCAAATGTTCTGCGCCGCAGGAAAAATTTAAAAAGGCCGAAAAAGGCATATTTGGAATATTTTGGTATATTTTGGTAAAAACTCGCGTTTTTTTGGCAAGCTTCTCTTTCAAAATTATTAATTTCGGGCGCCCCAGCCTCCTTTACAAAAATTTTAAGGTCCGTCAGTCAAAAATGGATATCTCAAAATAGTACAAAGTTCAAAAAATATTTTACGCTTTGAAAAATTATCGGGGTTTGAAACTTGTCCATTTGGCTAATTTGAGACAATTAAAGCGCAAGATACGAGAAGTCTCGATGTTCCGACTTTCGAAGAAACTGACGGAGTATTTGTGCTATGGGTGGATTTTTTCTCCTGACAATTTTCGACTTTTTAATTAGCCATTTTTCACAGTATATCACCCGAAAAGTATTGTTGCTCTTGTATTTCACCTGCAATTTTTCGTCGTCATTTTATGATTGTTCAAAGATATCCATTTTGGCGATTTAAGACAATGAAAGCGCGATATATTTCGTGCTATTCATGTGTACCCAGTTTCACCATACTTGTCATAAAATTATCACATATGAACAAATGCTTAAAAGACAGCTTTTTCCAACATATACGCTAAGTCAACTATGAGATAATTCTGCGATAAACTTTTTTTCATATATGAAAATTGTATTTCAAAATAGTATTTTTTTTTCAAGTTTTGCTAAAATTTTTTGTATTTTGTTCGAAATCACAATAACCAGGGATTTAGTAATATAAGAAACCCCATTGGTGGAGGGTAAGAAATATCGAAAACACTCACATTTGAGTAGTAATTGTCTGAGATAGTGTTTCATTGTTCACTCAGAATTATAAATAAAATCCTTAACTTTTTGTTTTTGGCCAGAAAATTTTAGAAAAATAGTTAGGCTGTCGGAAATTGTGGCCTTATTCCTTATTTGTTTTGATAATTTGAGGTATATCTTACAAATTAAAACATGCAAAAGTTAGAGTTTTCAATACGACAAGAATTTTTTGTGAATTTTGTTTTTTTTTCTACAAAAAGGTCAGCCTGGACTACGTTATAGACAAAAAGAACTAATTATAGCATGCAAATTATTTTTTTCCCGAATAGGGTTCACTTGGTCATGAAATTAAAAATTTCGACTAAAATTTGAGAAAAAAACTTTCCCTCAAAACTGTATGATAAACATTTTTTCCATACATTCCATGTATTAACTTTTTTTTCCGACAATGTTCGAGGAAAATGACGGATTATTTGTGCAGTTGTTTTTTCTCAAAACAAGTTTCGACTTCTTAATTAGCAATTTTCGACGAAGTTTGGTTTGTATCATTCTCAAATTTGTTTGTTGTCTTGAGCTCAAATTCAAAAAGACATTTCGCCTGTGATCAGTTTCATGAAAATTTGGGCATTTAAAGATAGACAATTCGGCCAATTTGAGACAATTACGAATGATGTTTTTCGTGCTAATTACAGGTAAGCCGATTTTTAATCCCTGCTAGAGATCGTTTCAAATTGAACTGAGGCGAGCTGTGTGGACTAATTATTACTTCGCTCTAGGCAAAATATATCATTTTGAACTTTAATTAGTTTATGGGGGGTTGATTTACTAAAACAAATTTGACTTTTTTAAACTTCACGCATTTTCTAAATACGAACATTACTCCATACACTCTTAAATGCAGTCGGAACATTCAAGGCTTCGCCCTGATATACGAGCAGTCTTCTTTTTTTCACTATTTTTTGAAATAAAAATTTTGTTATCGTTTTCAAATCAAACGCTACTCCCTTGACCTTAAAAGGCAGTCGGAATTTTCAGGGCTTCGCCTCGATCAGTGTTGTTAGTATCTATAATTGAGCCAAAATGCTTGACATACATCAATTATGTCATCTTAACAATGCTTAATCAATGAGTTGAAAATATACAAGCAAAATCGAAAATCAATTAGGTTTGAAAACAGAGATAACAACAGTTTGCTCTGTGTATAAAAAATATTTATCCGTTTTTCGTACCCACATATTTTTTACAATTTTAGTGCACGTACAGAATTTCCTGGACATTGTATGACTATCTTTTTGTTCAACCCTGGCTTAGATAAAGACAATTCCGCTAAGGGTCATTTCATAACCAAAATTATTACTATGAGCTATAGGATTAAACAATTATAAAATAAATTTTATTACTGAATTTTTAACTGAAATAAAACGGAAAAACATTTAAAAACCGAATAACATTCCATAATCTTGCTTTTGCTTTTTCAATTCACCGTCCTATATAGCGAATGTTTTGAATATTTTTGTTGAAATGCTGTTTTTCAGTACGATTCGTACGTTTTCGACTTCGGGAGCCTTTCGGCCAAGAGTGGCGACACGATCGCGTTCGACTTCGAGATGCTGGTGGCGGACAACCAGCTCTACGAGGAGGGGGCTCAGTACTGGATGGGGGTGGGGGTTGAGTTCAACCACTCAGAGGTGGCGGCGATATGATATAACAGCTGGCTCATTTTGCTTTCAATTGAAGCAAAACATTGACGGGATAATAACTTAGTTCAAATCTTGAACTAAAAACAAAAAAATTACCAAAAAAAAAACTTAAGAAAATTAATAAAATGCGTTTAAAATTAAGATAACATTTGTTTCAAGAGGTTTCATTAGCGCGAAGTTCTATCTTATAACCTTCCAATTTCAAGTGCGAGCATTTAAGTATATGTATATCATTGTACCAGAATATACTTTTTTAAGTTATTGTACGGATAATGGCCACCTATTGTATCACATCGCCCCCTTATGCAGTCCATCTGGGTCAATGACATCGCCTTCTACCTCGCCCCAAAGCCGGTCAGTCTCCTCCAGAAACCCCTCCCCCATGTCGGTGGTCAAAGGGGGCTCTCGGACATGACTCTCCCGTTCGGGTGGCTTCGCAACGACTGTTCCTCTGAATTTAGGTTGAGCAGAAAATCCATAAAATCTCTCAAGAACTTGATTTGAACTGAATAAATATTATATAATTAGCTCTTCTACGGCCCCATTTACAAAAAATGTTTTAAAATAATTGATAAATGAATGTGCGAACATTTATACGAATTCGACTTTGTGTTAATAATAATTTAAGTTGCAAAATTGATGGTGGGGCAAATAGTGGAAGAGCCACGTGAATTACCATTGCGAGTGTGAATGTATTCATGATCCTACGAGAATTTGTTCATGGCTTTTTAAAATAAAATTTTTCAGAAAAAAAAAACGTTTTAAGCCTCAACTCAAGAACAGTCGAGTGCGGGTCATCTAGGGAAAGCTGACATTCAGAAAACGATCTACATTTAATTTTGGTTAAAATAGTTGCGGTGCTCAGAAGGGATTGAAGTACGGCAAAGTTTTTGGAGATAACGGCCCAAAAATACGCAAATATGCACACTAGAAGGTTATTACTTAGCGAATCAGAACACATATTTGTTCTTGAATCATTCAATAAATTCAAGCTCTGCGTCTTTTTCTGCGTTTTTGCATCTTGAAGTAAATATTGAGCGGGCTATTATGTGTCTGCTTATTTTTTGTCGTCTGGAATTTTCTTTACACCTGAGCAATATTCACTGATTCAACATCCTTCTGATGTCTTCCTGAAAGGATGCAGATAATTGAGATCAAAGAAATGAATAGATCCTTGTGTTAAATTTCTAAACCTAAAAACATAGTTTAACCTGATTTGAAATACTTGAATTTGTCAAGCAAAATTTTAAGAATCATTAAGTGTCTCAGAGAATGGCTGGCATATATGAATAGTCAAATGCGGGTCATTTAGGAAAAGCTCAAAATCAGAACCGATTTACATTCCTGGTTGTATTGTTTCCGGGCTTTC